CACCAGCACCTGGGGCAGCAGACGCACTGGCACCTAGAGCGGCAGCCTCACTGGTCCTAATGCCCGGGTCAGGCGGGACACGCAGGTACTGGTCACTCTCTCCAATAATAGTCAATGCATACATGGCACCAAGGATAGCATCAAAGTCAAGTGCAAAGACATCAATATTCTTTTTCATCAGATCAGCCCAGCGGGGCAGCTCAGTGGCGTCAGGAAACTGTGCACGCCAGGCGTCGTCGAGACGAAAGAAGCAGCGGTGTGCCGTGTGGAACCTCCCACAGGTCTGGCCAGTGCGGTCACCTGTGCGGATAAGGTACGGGCAGGTACCTCCACCCCCAGACCCCCCACGCTGAGAGTACCACTCACGGAGCTGCTGGGAGGTCGGGGTCTCGCCGGGACGCTGCTGCTGCTGCCTCTGGCCACCACTGGACCCTCCACGCTGCACCGCCCTACCACGCCCGCCACCAGCTCCACCGCCGCCACCACTACTACCGCCACCCCCGCCACCCCCACTACCGCCGCCGCCACCACCCCCTCCTCCGCCACTGCCCCCCCCCCCACCAGCACCACTCCCACCACCGCCACCACCCCCGCCTCCTCCACCCCCTCCACTACCGCCGCCCCCGCCTCCACCTCCGCCACCCTTGCCCCCCTTGCCCTTGCCGCTCTTGCGCCTCCAACTAGGAGCAGACGCAGCCCCGACCTCCTCAGCACCGAGGTAGTCGACAGCAGCAGCAGATGCAATGGAGGGGAGAAGGGGGACGGGGGATCACCCCTCAAAGAAGGGAGTGCGAGGGTCGCCACAAGAGGCACCTACAGCTACAATACCCTTCTCAGCTGCAAGGAGCTCCTTCTCGAGCAGGTCGACAGTGAGGTCAGTGGGAGAGAGGGCGAGAAAGTGGTCCCTGACAGCGCGAAGAGTGCCAGGGAGGCGAGTGACTAGGTGGTAGAGTGTGAGGTACATCTGGGGAGGGTTCTTGGCGAGGAAGTCAGGAGGAAGCGCGGCACGATAGCGGAGATCACTAGTACGGAGGTGAGTGATAAGGTCAGCTACAGTGGCAAAGGCAGACAGATCGGGGAAGAGATAGGGCAGTGACAGACGGCCTATCTCAGCAGTAGCAGGGGAGGAGTAGCGCGCAATGACAGCATCGTACAGTTCTTATGCTGGCCAAAGTGCTCGCGCTCATCTAACGGCAGGTGGCTGCGAACGGCTAGGCGAGCGTGCGCATCACGGGTCTGCCACTGTGAGCGAGTTGTACTGTCAGCGGTAGCAGCAGGTGCGAGAGCTACGCCGGACGTGTGGTCAAACAGAGAAACATCGTCCTTGGCAGTGATCTGGAGGAACAGGTGCAGGTCATCGAGCCAAACGTCAAACTTAATCGGGCGGCCCTCAGAGTCAAAGGTGAGAACGGTAGGACTAGCCATAGTGGCAGTAGCAGTAGCAGCAGTAGCAGTAGCAGTAGCAGTAGTAGCAGTAGTGGCTGTAGCAGGAACAGGAACAGCAGTTGCTACAGGTGGGGCGGCGCGGCTCGATCAGGGCGGCGCGACTCGGGCGGCGCGACTCGGGCGGCGCGACTCTGGCGGCGCGACTCGAGCAGGCAGGGCGGCGCGACGGCGGGCCTATGCTCGGTGCGCGGCGGCGCCTAAGGTGCGGCTGTGCGCGGGCCGCGGCTGCGTTCGTGCTGGCGGCGGTCGACGGGCGGCTAGCGGGACGCACTAGGTTCGCGGCGCCTAAGGGGACGCGGCGGCGGTCGACGGGCGGCTAGCGGGCTGCGCGTGGGCGGCGACGACGGCGCGAGCAGCTAGGGGGCCGCGCGCTCAGAAAACGGGCCGCGCACGGGCGGCTAGCGGGCTACGCGACGGGAAAACGGGCCGCGCGCGCGGGTTGCTAGCGGCTGCGCACGGGCAGCGTAAGAGGAAAGGAGGCGCGCGAGGGCGCACTAGGAGCGAGGCGCACGAGGGCGCTAGGAAAGGACGGCGCACGAGGGCGCTTCGAGCGGAAACGGTGGGCCCTAAGGACGGTCCTAGGTTCCTAACCCTAGGCTCGTAATACCATGTCAGAATGAGTGAAGTGATTGCATTAGGAAAGTTGGGAGTACAAGTATGAAACCCTAGAGATTGTACCCCCTAAGGCTAAACCCACTACAGCCTAGAGAACACAAACATATGTAATGTTTGACAAGGCTTAGAGGAAAATTCCAGGCTCGGGAGAAGTTGTTCAAGCCTTGGAAAAATCCCACTACCCCCCAGGTGAAGTTGGAAGTTAAGAGTGCTGAGTCAGGTGTAGGAGATAGGAAGGTTATTATTTAGATGTACCTTATGATCCTATTAACAAGACTATCTTTAGCTACTCCTCGTAGCAGAAACCACTACTCCTCGTAGCAGAAACCACTACTCCTCGAGGTGTTATGCAAACGACGACGCATCGAGGCACTGGTGGACAGTGGTGCGTCCCATTTAGTGTGCGACCGCGGGACGTTGGAGAAAATTGGAGAAACCTTGGAGGAGACCCGGTTTACTACAACAATGGTGGACGTCACGAAGCTTCCATCCACTGCGAAAGCATCACTGCAGCTGCGCATAGGTGCGTTGTGTTGCAAGCCGACGTTGCTGATCACTAATATCAATGGTTTAGATTCAATCATGGGGCGGGATTTCTTGAAGCGGTTCAACCCCGAAATCGACTGGGTCAACGGGAAGGCGTGCATCTACAACAATGGGAAACGTGTGAAGCTACGAACCTGGACGGATACAGGGGACGTTCCCAAAACGACGCTTGCACTGTTCGAACGGATGGTGAACGAGAGTAGCACAGGGTACCTAGCACTGGTGATGGCAGCAGCAGAGGAGGAGATACCGAACTCGGAGCCACCTGCAACAGTACAGGAGGTGTTATCAGAGTACAAAGACATCAGCCACCTTTCAGCAAAATCCAGCCATTTCAGCCGTTTTCGGGCTTGAAGGAGCTGCATGTGAGCCGCGTGACTGACTCTATGCTGCAGCAAGTGGGTGTGCTGACGAGCCTTGAGGTATTCTCCTGCACGTGCTGAAAGAGGGTGATTTCCAGGGGATTGATGCACCTGAGGGGACTGCAGAACTTGAAGAGGCTGCGGCTGGCACCAGCAATCCTTCTAAAAAACTGTGGATTCAACAATCATGACCTTGACTTCCGCCCGAAGCTGAGATTTTCCAAATCTTGCCTGCCAGAGATCTTCCACACCTTCGAAAGGCCTCCCAAGAATGGTGCAGCAGGCGTAAGCAAAGTCCTCAGCAAGCGCATCAACGGCAGCATATGGGAGATAGCGGCTGCCCTGCCGGGTCTACATCACCTGGAGCTGCACCCACCAGAGCCCAGCACGACAGCACTGCGATCCCTCTCCAACATCACGCACCTCACAACCCTCTGCATCACCGGCACGTCGTTTGATGATTCTGACCTACTGGGCTTGAGTGGCCTCTCTCTGCTCACAAAACTCAGCCTGGCTGCCTGCACATTTGAAGCAGACCAAGCAGTGAGGTCAGTGAATCAAGTCATGACGCAGCTGCAGTCGCTGAACCTATCGGGAACGGCCATCAGCCAAGGCACTGCTGTGCATCTGCAAGCGCTTGAGCGGCTGGAGCGGTTGAAGCTGCAGCAGTGCAGCGACATGAGCAAGCTGCTTGTGCGGCGTCTTAGCCGCGTTCCTGCTCTTAGGGAGTTGGAATTAGGGTGCAATAACATGCAGCATGCTTGGCTGCTGCCGGTTCTGGAAGGGAAGAAGGTGACTCGGCTAGGAGTGAGAGGCTGTTGTTTCGTGGCGAAGAGGTTGAAAGGGCTTCAGCGGGCTTGGATTGAGATTGACTCCGGGGGTCGTTGATTGATGTTGGGATGCATGGAACATACAAGCTATTTGGCATGTTGTGCATGGTGTGAAATGGTGTCTGTTGCATTGTGCATGCTGTCTGTAAGAAGTTTGAATCATGGGGTGCTACGTAGCGGTAACATCACCATGTTACATGAACAGTTAGTATTAGGGTTGTGGATCACAATAACCATAGATGTATGTTATTCACAATATTTTGATGCACACTAAACATGCTATTGCTGAAAATATGGATAACTTTTGCAAATACGACAGTTCTAACTGAGTATGCATGGGGCAAGCTAGATCTTAAAATCTACCAGTAATGATGGTACTTAGAAATACGGCAATTTTTTAAACAATCAACTATTGCACACTGTAGATGGGCACAATAGACTACCATATCTCACAAGAGCGAGGATAAGAAACTTTGAATTTCAAATTTTGAGCTCGAAGCATTCCTTGATTGCTGGAGTGGGGAGAGCAGGATTGCGCTGCGTATATGAGGGGGCGCGTTCAGTGTGGGAATATGGACCTCGAAACGTCGTCGAGGAAGTTGATCTAAACGTCAGTAAGTGGACAAATCCAGATCGCAAACATTTTGGTCTCTTCAGATCAGATGTAGCTTCTGCAATCCTAGTTGGAACGAGAAATCGCAACACGCCCCACCAAAAAATCACTCCTGCATTTCTCTTCCCGTTCGTGCTTGCAGCTACAGTATGTGCGTTCCATTTTTGGTTGGAGAGGAGTTGTGCATCCATTGCTGATTCTTTCTACAGCTAATGACTTTTATCACCGAGAATCACTGCCTGTTCCAACATCCACAGCGCCTAAATAGCTAGCAGATTAGTGTCGCGTTTTACTTCTTCCGTCCACCGTGACTCCGCCACGCCGTAGACTCGTGACGATATCGCGACTCGCTCGTCACCGCCCCGGGCGGCGCAGATCGACGGCTTTAGCAAACGGGAGAGATGGAGCGAATGCGAACGTAGGGTTTGCTGCGATAAATGCGACGGATGTCAGGCACGGTCGGAACGGGCAGACGAAAACATGGATAAGGTTGACGAATCGAACTTACGGGAGAACGGGAAGGCGACGACTGTGATAGGAACGGATGCGAGGAGCCACGACGACGAAACGAGCGAAGTTGGGAAACCGATGGCTGAACTGGAGGAGTGGATTGAGAAGAAGGTGGAGGCGATTTCCGCGCTGGCGGACGCGATTCGGACGGAATGGGAGAGCGACGCGGCGCCGTCACCTGTGGGTATCAAAACAGGGCGCAAGCGAGTTCGTGTGGCGGATGGCTCTTCCTCAGACCCGATGGTGATGGTGAGTGCGAGGCGTGTAACTCTCAAATGTCACACACGCCTCCCGCCTCCAGTGTGTCGTGCACGTCTCGCATGCGTCGCGCAAGACTCCTCTGTATCGCGTGTCGAACCACAACGTATTTGAAATGCGTCATGTGGGATAACGTGCTGCGAGTGGCACGGGAGGTACGACCTTGCCTCCAATTCAACGCCTCCGAAGCAGTAGTACATGCATCCGGCGGAAGCCACGACGAGGAAACGAAGGATGCATCTCTTGTTTGCCGGCAGCGTCCGGTCGCCCTGCCATCAGCTCATGCAGGCTGAGAGGCGTGTGAGGCAATGCGAGACGAGGTTTCCACTGGGCAGATGGACACATCATGCGCATCATGACCAGTACTAGCCGCTCGTCCCTGCTTCCCCTACCCGTAGAAGCATGTGGACGGCCTCTCAGCCGACGCGGGAGAAACATCACCAACATCCCTTCCCTTCCACCCAAACCCCCCAAACCCCCAAACCCTCCTCCCCCTTCCTTGTCCCCTGCTTCCCCTACCCATCGCAGCATCTGTCAGCCCTTGCGGGAGGCCAGGTTTAAAAAAAGGGGGATGCATGGAAGTTTACCTCCTCCCCCTTCTCCCTCCTCCCCCCCCCCCCCCCCCCCCCCCCGCCGCACCCCCTCCCCCCCCCCCCCCTCCTCCTCCTCTCCCGCCCGCCCTCTCCTCTCCTCCTCCTGTTTCCCCTTTGTCCCCTACTTCCCCATCCTCGCAGCAGCATCTTTCAGCCCTGTCAGCCCACGCGGAGGCCATCCGAGAGGTCTCGAAAGGTCAGCTCGTAAAACCTTAACCCGCCGCCTACCCCAAATGTTCCTCCTCCGCTCCCGCAACATCCGCTCCCCACCCCTCCCCTCCCCTTTCCCCCCCTTGCCCCCTGCTCTCCCATCCTAGCAGCAGCATCTAACGGCGCTGTCAGCCCATGCGGAGGCCATTCGAGAGAAGGTGCGCGGAGTGGGGAGATATCTGCGCGGGGGTGAGCAGGCGCAGGGGGGAAGAATGGAGGGCGGGGGTGAGCGGGGAGGGAACAACGAGGAGCAAAGTGGGGAGGAGGAGAAGGATGATCAGAACGAGAAGGAAGAGGAGGAGGCAGGGGATGGGGAGAAAGAGGCGGAAGCGGAGGTGGAAGGGGGAGGGGAGGTGGGGATGATGGACGAGGAGGAGGAGAAGACGATCGATCTGGTAGACGAGACAACGGAGGAAGGGGATGAAGAAAACTTGAAGGGGGACTCTACTGGAGATGCAAGTGAGGAGATGGAGCAAGCGGTGGGAGAAGGGCGAGGGGAGGAGCCGGTGGAGGCAGTAGGAGCAGGGCTGGGGGGAGATGGAAGAGAAGAGCACGCGGAAGAGAGGGAGGGAGAGGCAGAGAGGGAGGAGGCAGCAGAGGAGTGTGAAAATGAGGAGAAAGATGCAGGGGAGGGCACAATGGAGGAGGGAGTGGGAGATAACTATGACTTGGTTGAGGTGAGGTGGCAATGAGGAGAGAAGTGGCATTGAGGTGAGAGGTGGCAATGAGGAGAGAAGTGGCATTGAGGTGAGAGGTGGCAATGAGGTGAGAGGTGGCAATGAGGTGAGAGGTGGCATTGAGGTGAGAGGTGGCAAGGAATTTACCTCTCACGCTTGTTCTCACCCCTTTTCTTCCTCTTTCCTGATTTTCTCCAATCTTAGCTGCAAATTTACCTAAATACAATATACTTACAATTACACATGTATTAGCACATAAGTATTTGTACATGTCTTGCTACATTCACTTTGTTGCTCCTCTCGATTCCAACTCTGCACCACCCCTCTGCTCTCTCTCCCTTAAATATCCTGGACCATCCCCCACCCTTCCCAAGCAGCCCCTCGTTGCTGGAAACGGAGGGGGGCAGGACCAGCGGGCAGGGTTGGGGGACGAAGCCAGGGATATCATGCAGGGGGGAGGGGAAGGCGTGCTGGGGAGGGCAGGCGGGGAGCAGAGTGGTGCAGGAGAGGCAGATGGGCCGGTGGGGAACGACCTGGTACTGTCTGTGAAGCGATGGGCGCAAGAGGCAGGGCTGTGCGGAGCAGCAGCAGAAGCAGCAGCAGCAGCAGCAGCGGCAGGGCAGCCAACACAGAGCAAGGGAGCTGCAGGTGGGGAGGTGCAGAGCGCATTAGTGGGAGGGAAACTCAGAGACGAGGCACTCAAGGTGCGGCTGCAGGAGGAAATACACGCGCTGCTGCGGCTCATCCCGGCTGACAAGCAGGTGATTCAGACACGCGTGATCAACGGAATGGTCTGCTTTCTCTCTTCTCTGTCCCCCAAGACACAGCAGAGCATCCCTACAGTGCAGCGGACCGTTCCTAAAATGCAGCAGCTCGATGGCAACCCCGCAGCACCGCAGATCACCTCTGAATTACAGGAGATCACCCTCTCCCAACGAAACCTCCACTACTTTCTCTCACTCGCTCCCGCCTGCCGCCCCACCCTCCTCCCCTCCCTCACCTCCCTCACACTCGACCACGCCTCCCCCGTCTCCACCCGTGACATGCTCTCCCTCGTCCATCTACCCTCCCTCACCTCGCTCTCCTTCCTTCAAACCCCCATCGCTCCATCCGTCCTGCCCCTCATCCAGCCCTTCTCCCACCTCCACCAACTCGTCCTCGACTGCCCCGGCCCATCAACCCTGGCTTTCAGTTCAGGCCCCTGGCCGTTGAAGAACCTGAGGGTGCTGCATGTGAGCCGGGTGACCAACGCAGTTCTGGAGCACGTGGGCATGCTGAGGAGACTGGAAGTCCTCTCCTGCACGTGCTGTGAGGGGGTGGGCTTCATGGGATGGCTTTGCCTGGTCGGGTTGAAACGGCTGAGGCGGCTGCGAGTGGCACCAGCAGACCTGGGCGATCATGGCCTGAGGATGGACTATCCCAAGGGAAGATTACCGGTGGTCTCACGAGTGTATGCAAGGCCACAGAAGAAGCAGGGGGGCGTACTTTGGGAGAAAGTTGGAGAAGGTGTTGAAGGGGGTGTTCATGAGAGTGCACGCCTGAATCACTTGGAGGGATTGCCGAGCCAAGATGACGATAGCGGGGTGTGGCATTTGCTGAGCTCTCTGCCACTTCTGGAGCATTTGGAGTTGCATGCACCACCACGCTACAAGCACGCCTTCGTGTCGCTGGATGAGTTGTGCTTTCTCACCACTCTCCACATCACTGGGGCTGCCCTTGACAATGACGATCTCAAATGGTTGACTCGCGTGACTCAGTTGACCCACCTCAGCCTTGCTGGCTGCACGTTCCCAACCGAGAGCGAGGTTCAACGATGGTGGGATCCCCCCTGTAGTGTGGTGAAGAGAATAGCAGACTCCATGCCGAAGCTGGTGTCCCTTGACCTGTCGGGAACGGCAGTCACTAAAGAAGACATCTTCGAACTGAAATATTTGAAGCACTTGGAGCGCTTGACTCTGCAGCAGTGCTGCAATCTGGGCCAGTCGTTTGTGCGGTTCCTCAGGTTCTTGCCTCGCCTCAAGGAGCTGGACTTGAGCTTCAACAACATGCTGGCTGCGTGGTTGAGGCATGTTGTGGAAGGGAAGCGGGTGAGGCGGCTGAGTGTGAGGGGGTGTGGGTACAAGGAGAAGACCGTGCGTGGGCTTGAGCGGCCTTGGCTTGTGATAGAGGCGTGATGTGATGGTTGTTGTTGGAATACTTTGTGTGGTGCACGGCATGTGGTCTGGCCATTGGTCAAGTTTTGAGGTGGCGGAAAGTAAGGACGTATGCGAGCTTCAACGTCCTTGGATTGATATCGTGCATAAGATGGCTTGCATTGGTTGGCTTGCATTGGTTGGCTTGCATTGGTTGGCTTGCATTGGTTGGCTTGCATTGGTTGGCTTGGATTGGTTGGCTTGCATTGGTTGGCTTGCATTGGTTGGCTTGCATTGGTTGGCGTGCATGGGATGGTGTGCATGGGATGGCTTGTATGGGATGGCTTGTATGGGATGGCTTGTATGGGATGGCTTGTATGGGATGGCTTGTATGGGATGGCTTGTATGGGATGGCTTGTATGGGATGGCTTGTATGGGATGGCTTGTATGGGATGGCTTGTATGGGATGGCTTGTATGGGATGGCTTGTATGGGATGGCTTGTATGGGATGGCTTGTATGGGATGGCTTGTATGGGATGGCTTGTATGGGATGGCTTGTATGGGATGGCTTGTATGGGATGGCTTGTATGGGATGGCTTGTATGGGATGGCTTGTATGGGATGGCTTGTATGGGATGGCTTGTATGGGATGGCTTGTATGGGATGGCTTGTATGGGATGGCTTGTATGGGATGGCTTGTATGGGATGGCTTGCATGAGATGGCTTGTATGGGATGGCTTGCATGAGATGGCTTGTATGAGATGGCTTGTATGAGATGGCTTGTATGAGATGGCTTGTATGGGATGGCTTGCATGAGATGGCTTGTATGGGATGGCTTGTATGAGATGGCTTGTATGGGATGGCTTGCATGAGATGGCTTGTATGGGATGGCTTGCATGAGATGGCTTGTATGAGATGTCCTGCTTGCATGGTATATGGAGGAGCATCATGCTCCTTCCATGACGTATGGTGCATCAAGATGGAGCATGGTTTCTGCATCTGGGCGTGTTGCATGCAATGAGGCATCCTGTTAAGTTAGAAATACGAGGCAAACTGGTGTTGGCATGGTATGGTAGCCAAACCGGTATCCGGTTGGCAGCTTGTGGAGAGGTTATGCATGGGCATGCTGTGATGCAAGCAAGGTATGGTAGTGGTATTAATGTTTGAGGTATATTTATGAGGTCCCATGATTTGACATGAAAAGAAAAAACGTGATAGTACGAGTTGTGATGTGTGAACATTTGTATTACCTAGTCCATGATAAGCAGTCAGTATAGTTGGGATTAATGCCTCACAATAGCTTTGTAAATTTCCTGTTAATGTAAAGTTGATTTTCTTTCACCACACTCAAAATGTTCATAGTGACACCACTCTACGCCATATCGTGTACAGCTTCCACACACCTTGCACCTCCTCTGTTCTTGTTCTCTTCGATCGAACCCTTCATTCATCAGTTCTGCAATTCGCGTTTTGATCGAGCTCTAGCAGTTGAACCGCTCATCCGAGAGCTACCCGGGTTTCGCATTATTAGAGCCCACCGCGCAAACGGATCTGGTCGAGTCCAGTTGGTCCCTTTCGTCACTGTTATTCGATCCCTCCCACAGTGCTCCCATCTGATTCGACGACTCACGGTCTGTTTCTTACAGTGTTCGCATCAGTCACTGGCAGCTGTGCGTGTTCTCATCGCATCCTCATCGGAGTCCAAACTCGCTCAGCCTGTCGTGCGCCCCTAGTTGACGCGGTGCGTGAGTGTGTAGTCTCTTCATTCTCACGACTAAAATTCAAGGTCCGCAGGTTGCCAGACGTAGAGCGTGTTTATCTCGCCTAGCTAGACCGCGTCGCATGGAGGACGCAGAGGCGCGGCGATCTCGCCTGCGCGGCATGCGCGAGTCCGCGGCGAAGCAGCAGGCGGCGTCCCCCGCGCCCGTGCCTTCTGCCGCGCTCTCCGCACTCCCTTCCCCCGATTTCTCCGCCGCCGGCGCTTATCCGCATGCATCCGCGCCGGCGCTAACCGGGGAAGGCGGACATGGGGAAGGTAGATCTGCGAGACGGCCAGCAGGGGCAGCAGGAGGTTCGGGGGGCTTTTCGTTCTACACAGATCCTATGGCAGCCTATCAGCAACAGCCACGTGTAGGGTCGGGATTGGGCCCGCCTGCCATGCGCACTCCCTCCCCGCGCTTGCCTTCTGCGCAACTTCCGCCCCCTCCTTTTCCTTCCCCGGGTGGCTCCGCAGGCTACTTTCCTTCCGCCAACCAACACCCGGTTCCGCCAAGCCACACCCCTCCCCCAGGTCAAACCCCGCTTTCCGCGCACACCCCGCCTCCGCCCGCCTACACCCCGCCGCCTAGCTACACCCCTCCGCCCAGTTACACCCCTCCGCCTGGCCACGCCCCTCCCCCACCTTCCGCGGGTCCCGCAAGCGGGGGACCATTCAGCGCGCCCATCCTCCGCCATCCGCCCCCGGGTGGCGGAATGGGGATGGCTTTCTCCCCCCTGCCCGCGCCCATGCGCCAGGCCACCCCTCCCTCCGCGCCCCTGTACCAGTCAACGCCTCCCCCGGGTATGACCCCCCCTGGCGCACCTGGTGCAGCGGGTGGCGCCTCCCCCATGCACCTCCCCCCTGCCTCGTGGGGGGGTCCTCCTGGCTCAGGCTATCAGAGTTACGCTGGGTCGGGTTACCAGCAACAGGGTTACCAGCAACAGGGTTACCAGCCACAGGGTTACCAGCAGCAGGGTTACCAGCAGCAGGCGGGCAAAGGGTGGGATGGCGGTGGGAGAGGGGGATGGGGACAAAGCAGAGGAGAGGGAGAGGGAGGGGGGAGAGATGGGGGCAGAGGGGGAGGAGTAGGGCAGTGGGGTGGGCGAGGGGGCATGGATGGCAGGAAAAGGCCTTGGGAGGGGCAGGGAGGGGGGAGAAGCAGTTACGATAGGGGAGGGGAGGGTGCGAGTCTGAGTGGGGTTGGTGGAGGTAGAGGGGGGTGGAATAGGGAAGAGAGGGGGAGTGGAGGAGGGTGGGGTGGAAATAGAGGTGCGGGAGGGAGGGGAGCAGGAAGAGGAGGGGGAGGAAGGGGAGGGAGAGGAGGGAGGGGAGGTAGAGGGAGTGCTTCTGCACGGGAGCAGCCGGAAGCGTTTTTCTCGCCAAGGTTTCTAGAGGATCTGTGGAAGCATCTAAATTGATTCGAACCCCTATGCGCTTCTTGGCCGTTTCAGATGTGGGTTGTCGTTTTAACAGCCAAATCACAGTTGACGAGATTGCTGATTTGTTGCTCGATCCGTGTTTCAAATCCTGGGTGGCTACGGTAACCGTTACTGGTATAGTCTTAGCTACAATGCAATCTGTAATGCTATATGAAGATAATTTCAAAAGTTGATCGTTTGGTTGTGTTACCAAACGATCAAGTCCAATTACTGACGAGGACTGCGAGGCACCCAAAGTCGAGGCCAACTGCAAGCGAACAGCCACAGTCAGATACTCTATTACCTGATTGGGACGAAATTGGTAACTGACCTTTCTGGTCTCGCAAATTGCAAATCCCAATCACTGAGTCACGCATTTGAACAGATACTTTCGAATGGAAGAGCCTTTTATATTCATTCTTTTGTGCGATAGTTGGCGACATTCCACACTTCACTTACCATAGTCGCTAGTTGCGAGCCGTAATGGCTCTCGCAGATCATTCCCTCGCGTCGCGTCGCGACCACGTCGCGAGGTCTTTGAACGGGTTCTCTCTGCTGCGGGATGCCGACCCTTCCAATCGTTCATTCCAAGATTCTAACAGTCGCGATTCAAGCAGCCGCGTTAATCCGATTAGCGCCAGCGCTATAGTAAGCAAAGGCAGCGCGCTGTTTCGTGACGGCGGCTCGCTGCAATCGCACATGGCGGCAGCCCTGTCGAGCGGAATGCGCGCCGCTGCTCCGCTAGTAGCGGGAGGGTTGGCACAGGCGCAGTCCGCGCAGCAGCAAAACCGCCGCCCGGAGAAGCCTTTGAAGGCGGAGGAGCGGAGAAATGCGGAGATGGGAAATGGCGGAAGTAATGGGGGGAAGAATGGCGGGTTGAAGCGAGGCAACGGCGGCAGCAGAAAGGAAAATGCTCGCTCTTCAAATCAGGATTCCCCTCCCTCCTCTCCTTCCTCGCCCTCCTCTCCCTCCTCACCCTCCTCCTCTCCGTCCCTCTCCTCGCTCTCCCCGTCCTCGTGGATTCCTCTTCCCCTCTCCTTTCAAACCCCTTCCTCCTCTGCCACGTCACCATTCCAACTCCTCACTCAGTTCAGACTCCTCTTGGTCAGCAATAACTTTCACCATGCTGCCCGCACTGTTCAACCGAGTGACACTGTTCATCCGGGCGGCATCTGGGGGAGGCTGGCGCAGGGAGGCTGGTGGCCGGCAGGGGAGCAGGCAGAGGAGGTGGAGCTATCCGGAGTGCACAAGGTGGGTTCAGTGCGGTTCTCTTCGCCACCGCACACTCTCGTTCCGCCCTTCGTTCCCCCACCACAACTGGCCCGTAGACTACAAAAGAACATAACCCACTTTGTGGCTTTGTGCGTTTCCCATTCGCCCCCTTATCCGTACCTCAGTTCACAATACTGCTCCTCTCTTATCTTCTTCTCCCGCCTCCTCCTCTCTCCACTCCCCCCTCCTCCACTCTCCTCTCTCCTCGCCCCTCCCCACGCAGCTGGGCCTGTGGACCACAGTAGAGCCCTGCATCCGAGCATCTCGGCAGCATCTGGGGGAGGTACATCTGAGGGTAGTGCGCCGCCTCGTGCTGCCTCTTCCAACACTCGCCTCCCCTTTCACCACTCCCTCTCAACTACCCTCCTCATCCACCTCCTCCACCTCCTCCTCCTCCTCCTCCTCCTCTCATCTCGCAGCGCCGTGCCAGCTGGCACTGACAGCTGTCTCCGACACGAGGAGCCGGGCCGTGGGAACAGCAGAGGTGCTCATAGGGTGGGTGCTCTTTGAACGGGGTGCTGATAGGGTGGTTATAAGAGGGTGGGAGCTGATGGGGTGGATACTGCAAGGGTTGATGACAGCTGTCTCCGACATTAGGAGCCAGGCCATACGCACAGCAGAGGTGCTCATAGGGTAGGTGCTCTTTGAGTGATTTTCTATATGGGGTGCTGATGATGTGGGTGCCGATAAGGTCTGTGCAGGGGACGTTGGAGTGTTGGGGTGCGCAGCTGTCTCTGACACGAGGAGTCAGGCCGTGCGCACAGCAGAGGTGCTCATAGGGTGGGTGCTGATGGGGTGGGTGCTGATAGGGTGGGTGGTGAATAGGGTGGGTGCTGATAGGGTGGGTGGTGATAGGGTGGGTGGGTGCTGAATAGGGTGGGTGCTCTAGAATGATATCTTCCCTTACAAGGAGAGAACGGGTATCTACGCTCCTACACTGCTGCAAACACTGGTAGTATACTCCCATCGTGATTCCCATCCTCAATGTCGTTTTTTCAAGCCTCATTAACCGCTCGCCGTTGTTTAGCACAAGCTAGTTTTGCCGTTACTATTTCGGATCTCCATAATGAGAACCAGACCAAGCATCAGTAGTGTGCCGGACTGCCTCCTCTTTGACATTCTCAGACACTCCTGCAAGCAGCCTGGCGCTCCATGCACGCCGTATATTGGCTGCCGCGTGTGGACGCCCACATCCGCATTTAACCCTTGGATTATTATGTCATAGGCCAGAAGCCCGTAGCATCCCCTCTTCTCGCAAACGTTTCAGAATCTCCTCGTTGCGTTGTCTGCTGCCGTTGGCGTTGCCTGCCAAAGCTTCACATGTTAACCTCTTAGTGTCTTGCGAACATCTCTCAGTCGTCGCCGCGTGCTTTCCAAAAATATGGTAACGCTGTATTCTCGTGGAGGCAGAACAGGGTAACTTGCTCCAATGTCGGAAGCTTTCAAAAGAACCCATACAAGCCGCCTGTATTGATCCGGTTCTTCTCCATTGTAAGATACACCACACAGTGAACACATGGATTGGGCAATCGCCGGCTCTTCCCCACGTGGAGAGCCGTCAGCCTTGGTCATGGAGATGCGAGGTGAGCGAGGAAGGCATCGTTGAGCGACCCGGAGAGGCTTTCACCCAGATGGAGAACCGTGAGGACCGTAAAGCACGCGACGGTGACTGAGAGATGTTCGCAGAACACTAAGAGGTCTAATTTAACGGAGAGGGTCGTCACGTGAAGCTTTCCCTCCACCCGTTCCGCTCTTATCCACCCGTGGTACACGCCTGTCTTTTTTCATTCACCTCACATAATATTTAGAATATGTCTTCCTTCCAATCTGGTCCTCCGTTTAATGGCAGCTAGTGTTTGAGTGCACCACTCGAGCTTCTTATATGTCCCATTGCCACATTTCTGGACCTCCCTCTCACATTTTCTGCATCTTTGCTGTACATTGGCTGTGTGTGTTCGTCTTTCTCCGGTTACACAATAGTTTTGATTTCATGAGTGCCATCCTCTGTCTTCAAATACCCCTTTTGTTTTTGTTCATTCTTTTTCTGCCAACATCACAGCCAAGTGACCTACTCCGTTTTGGAACGATATTTTCTTTCCTGTAGTGTAATTGCAGGATGGGTCACAGCAGTGCCACCCCCCCAATTCTCACTCAACCCCCAGTGATCACAGGGGGACCACTCTGTGAGCGCTGCTGTTACAGGTGCCCTTATTATTGCCGTTGAGTGCCCACGGAGTGGCCTTTAAGCCTGCTCATATTCACCCCACTTAATGCCATTCCTCTCCCCGTTCTTTTTTCCCCTTTCAGTGATCGCCGGGAGGGCCACTCTGTGAGTGCTACTGTTACGTGTTTCCTCAGAATGCCCTTCGAGTGCCCTTTATTTCTGCTCGCAGTTCACCCCACCCAATGTCATTGCTCTCCCGAAACCTTTCTTCCCCTTTCAGTGATCGCAGGGAGGGCCACTCTGTGAGCGCTGCCGTGACCTGTGACCTCTCGCACTCGCTCTCTCTCAACGCTGCCACATCGCACCGGTACTTCACTACGTATTCCGCATGTGCACCCACAAACGCGCACACGCAAACGCGCACGCACACGCGCGCGCGCGCGCGCGCGCACACACACACGCGCGCGCGCGCGCGCACACACACACACACACACGCGCGCGCGCGCGCGCACATACACACACACACACACACACACGCACACACACACACACACACACACACATCCATCCACATCCCATTCGTCCATCTCCTCATCCCATCCGTCCATCTCCTCATCCCATCCGTCCATCTCCTCATCCCATCCGTCCATCTCCTCATCCCATCCGTCCATCTCCTCATCCCATCCGTCCATCTCCTCATCCCATCCGTCCATCTCCTCATCCCATCCGTCCATCTCCTCATCCCATCCGTCCACCGCCACAACGCTGAGACCCCACCAGGCTTACCTCGGCAGCGTGGCTGTACACGCGAGTCACAGCGCACAGCAAGCAGCCTGATCGAACAAGAGTGCTGCTGCAGGTACTGCCGATGCACTGGGTGCTGCAGGTACTGCTGATGCTATGGTTGCTGCAGGTAACTTGGCCTTTCATGCTGGGTGTTGCAACAAGCTCGTTCACTCCTTTCTTAGCGTCCATCCTCCATCCTCCATCCTCTCCCGTCCTTCCTCCACCCTCTCCCATCCTTCCTCCACCCTCTGCTGTCCTTCCTTCCTCTCATCCTTCCTTTCTCTCATCCTTCATCCTCTCCCAATCCTTTCCTCGTATGCCATCCCCCCACCATCCTCCACTGAAGTGGGTGCGTCGAGCATCTCACATCCTTCCTTCCTCACCTCCCATCCTCACCACCCTCCCACTCCAGTGGGTGCTTCGACCAACACCCCGCCACACCTTCTCGCCCCTCCTCGCCCTCTCACCCTCTCGCCCGGCTCAAGCTGTGGTCACATTCAAGACGCAGAGCCCGCCTGCTGCAGGTGAGGATGGAGTGTGGGAATGGCGGGTGAGGCGAGGGTAGAGATTGAGGTTGAGGATGGGCGGTGCGATAGAGGAAAAGCACATCAACACACTCACAACTTGTGCCTCCCCTCTCGCCCTCTCGGCCAGCTCAAGCCGTGGTCACGTGGAAGAAAGAGAGCCCGTCTGCTGCAGGTGGGGATAGCGAGTGAGGGTGGGAGGTGAGACTGGGGGGTGAGGATGGGGGGTGAGGATAGAGGACAACACGCCAGCACGCTCGCACCTTTACCTTCCCCTCTCGCCCCGCTGAAGCTGTAGTCATGTGGAAGACTGAGGGAGCGAGGATAGGAAGTCAGGATAGGGAGTGAAGGTAGTGAGTGAGGATGGGAAGTCAGGATAGGGAGTGAAGATAGTGAGTGAGGATGGGAAGTCAGGATAGGGAGTGAAGATAGTGAGGATGGGAGCGAGGATAGGGAGGGAGTGACCATATGGAGTGATGATACGGAATGTGGATAGAGGCAGAATAGTATAAAACACTGGCACCATTGCCTTTCCCTCTTGCCCTCTCGCCCTGCTCAACCTGTTGTTACATGGAAGACTGAGAGCCTCCGGCTAAGGTGAGGATGGGGGATGAGGATGGGGGATGAGGATGGGGGGTGAGGATGGGGGGTGAGGATGGGGGGTGAGGATGGGGGGTGAGGATGGGGGGTGAGGATGGGGGGTGGGGATGGGGGGTGGGGATGGGGGGTGGGGATGGGGGGTGGGGATGGGGGGTGGGGATGGGGGGTGAGGATGGGGGGTGAGGATGGGGGATGAGGATGGGGGGTGAGGATGGGGGGTGGGGATGGGGGGTGAGGATGGGGGGTGAGGATGGGGGGTGAGGATGGGGGTGAGGATGGGGGATGAGGATGGGGGGTGAGGATGGGGGGTGGGGATGGGGGGTGGGGATGGGGGGTGGGGATGGGGGGTGGGGATGGGGGGTGAGGATGGGGGGTGAGGATGGGGGATGAGGATGGGG